ATTGCTTAGGATCTGTCAAAATACACATTTACCGTGGACACTGAGATTGAAGTCCTTGGACTGTTTTCCAGCTGTATTCATGACGCTGCACTGGTAGCGGGCCTGGTCCCCGAGACGAGCACTTTTTATCCTCAAAACCTGACCTCTGTTGGTGACCTCCAGATTGGGATCGCCAAGAAACACCAGCCTATAGGAACAGAATCACAATGAGAAGAGGGAGGACAGGAACCAGAGAATGGTAAGTCCAGTGTTTCCACTTGGTTTCCACAAGTTCAGAGGAAACCTACTTCCTGTCCTTGTACCACTGGATTGTGGGAAGGGGAATTCCTTCCACTTTGCACTCCAGAGTGATGTCTTGCTTAAGAATCGCTGAAACATCTTGAGGAGAGCCTGACCCTACGATTGTTGGTGGGACTGAAACAGAAGAGAATCCCTCTATTAGACGCGTCATCATGAGTTTTCCTCATCCTAATATTTGATGGCAACACCTGATGAAACAACACAACATCAGCAGAGACCAACTGTTTTCCCAGCACAACAGTTCATCACAAAGAGCCGATCGATGTTATTCACGTCTCCTGTCAGGTTTAATGTTGTAGTTGATGGTTGAAGCTTTCTCACATCAGTTCTAGAAACACATCAATAGAAAAAATCTACCCGTTTTTGTACAAGTTAGTGTAATTAAGTAAATAGTGGAAGTGTTTTACAGGTGACTGATCAGCTGATAATGAGCCACTTCAAAGGTAAACAATCTGAGACACATGCAAATGATAAGAATAATAAAAAGTATAATTTAACCACAAATAAAGCTGGATTGAATAACTACTGAAATCGGCGAAAGGAAAAGGAGCATTTAAGAACATGAATACAATCAAATAAACAACAAAAATACAGCCATAAGTGTATATTATGGTCCTAATCAGAACTCACTCACTCACTGATTCATACATTTCTCAGAACACCAGTGCAGTGAGTTTTACAGTAATCCAACCTGCTCAGATCATGTATGTTGAGTGTTTTGCAGTGACTGCTCACTGTTTACTCACCCAGCACGTCCAAGAAGAAGTTTTTCTCCGTGCTGCCTGCGATGTTGATGGCTTTACAGCTGTAGCCGCCTCCGTCTGCGATTTCTGCCTTCAGTAGCCTCAGAGTTTTTCCCATATCCAGAATCTGGACGCCGCTACTGGCTACGACCTGTCGATCAGCACCGACAAATTAAATCAAACACAAAAATTACACCATCACTAAAAGTTTAGGAAATGCTGTCTGACAGTAATTACTGGACAAACTGCGAGACATCACGACAGCAGAAGCTAAACTCAGAAAGCTGCAGTTTACAGTTTAAGCAGGACTGAAGAACAACTTTGGTCCACAGAGAGACGAAGACTCACTCAGCTGAGAAACACAATTTTAAAAGTGTACAAAACATGAAAAGCACTCAGTTGTTGATCAGAGCCAAAAACGTTCAGAGAGCACAACATCTTGATTTAGATTACTCATAATTAGCAGATTAAAGTACACGCTCTGATTTTCCCATCTGGGCCTGGCAGGGAAAATTAATAATGCAGCCAAGGGAACAAAAAGCAGCCAAAGAACTGGGATGGTACAGCAAAGTGTGTGCTAATGCTGTGTTCTAGCATCAATTTATCATAATTATTCTATCATTACAGCTTAGAGCAACCGAGGCCGATGTTTGTTACACACACGCATGCAGTCGGGATCCACGCTGGTTTTAAAGTCTTTTCTCTTGGACGCTGCACCCTGTGATCAGGGTCGATTAAGGCTTTATGAGTGCTTCCATAAACGAATGAAAGGAAAGGTCATTATGATTTTTCATTACTTTTACACATGTTAAAGAATCCGGTTTCATAGAGGACTCGCTGGACCGCAGGTTAAGTATAGACTACGCAAATGACAGAATATGTGTTTAATGTGTGCATTCACCTTTTAAAGAGGTGACATTAGTGCTAAAAATAGAAATGTGTGGTATTCAGTGGGATTTCACCTACAGGAGTCCCGTCCTTGTACCAGGTGATGACAGGGGTCGGACTCCCTGTGATGTCACACACCAAGCTGGTGGGCTGGCTCTGGACCACCGACACGTTTCCTGGCGTTTCGCTGTCACGGAAATTTGGAGGTACTGTGGAAGGTGTCAGAGGTGATGAATATACTACATGATGTAGGATAAAGTGTCAGTACATGACTTAATGCACACGTCGCTTACCGTTGACTTTGAGCTGGTACTTCCTCTCAGTGGATCCGGCATCATTGACAGCAGCGCACACGTACTCTCCGTTGTCCAGTGGCGAGACAGAGGCCAGAATCAGCAGCGTACCGTCCTCCAGGATGGACACACCGGGCTCATTACCAGTTAGTTCCTGACCGTTACGCAGCCAGCGAATCACCGGCTTAGGAAGACCTGAAGGAGAGATGATGATAGAGACACTAGAGAAGTAAACCCAACGCACTGGTAACTAAAACAAATTGAATTGTACTGAGTGTACTAAATGCCACTTTTGATCAAACCAAATCTTCAAATGGTCTAATGTTGTGATCTGTTCATGATAGTGAAAAGGTAGGAGGAGATAGCACCAGTACCTTTGGCAGGGCAGGGAAAAGCAATACGCTGGTTCGCAACTCTCTCCTGCAGGGGACTGTTGAAGGGCGGCTCCAGGACTTCGACAACAGGGGGCACTGGAAAAATGCAAACATACAAGTTCAATAACAAATACTACAAAACACTATCTATCTATCTATCTATCTATCTATCTATCTATCTATCTATCTATCTATCTATCTATCTATCTATCTATCTATCTATCTATCTATATAAGTCTGAAACCAACCTTGAACTAGAAGCTGGATTCGAGCCTCGTCTCTGCCTGCAGTGTTGGAGGCCGTGCAGGTGTAGGTTCCCTCGTCATCCAGGCCCACGTTTCTCAGCGTCAGGCTGCCGTCAGGTGACACTGGGTACCTTTGACCATCCTTAGTCCAGGTGAGTGTCGGCTGTGGGACTCCTCTCACCACACAGGGCAGCTCCACCAGGTTACCCACCTGTACCTTCATGACCCGGGGGCCAGCCTGAATACTTGGGGGCACTGCAGGACAGAGGACAGCATTTATTCAACCTTTTTTGGGAATGCATGTTATTTATAACAGGACTTTTATTATAGTGTGTGTGTCACACTATAATAAAACTAAGCACTCCTCACTGACATCATGTCTGAGCTGCTCCTCTAGTTTAAGTAATCATAATGAATAAGTAGTTCAGACCGTTTTAAATAGATACTGCAAACGGCATACATTTGATCCAGATGCATCTTTCATTGTTTCATCTTTTGATTAAAACTTTTACATAAATACGTCAGATTTTGAAAGTAGAAATTCTTGCATTTGTGATAGAACAAGATCCACTGCTGATCCCAACAACGTCAGGATTTGTCATCTTTCAAACTTACCCAAAACACTCAGCTCAATGGATTGTGTTAGATTTCCAGCGATATTGGAGGCGACGCACACGTAGAGGCCACTGTCTGACACTCTGCTCTCCAGGATCTTCATCGAGCCCGAGGGCAGCTGGGTGTGCCTGAGAGGAAACACAACATGCACACGATTTAACAAACTGCAATAAATTGGCCTGTAAAGTGAAAGTCTTGGCTGACAATCAAGCTTGCAAAGCTTCCAAAATGCGAAAAAAAAAAAAAAAAGCACACACACACTAATTGTTTCCACTCAGTGACTTATTCAGTTATTACTGTAAACAGATAGTGCAGTAATTCTTACTAATCCACCATCAACCATAATTACAGCTGCTGTGGCAGGCTCACAGTGAGTACAACAGATCACAAGGAAGAGAATGATTACTCAGTCATCTTAAAAAACCCACAAACTGTACCCTGAGGTCACGAACGCTTGACAAACGGAGACAAAGCACAGAAATGTAGACAGTGTGGAGGTTGTCTTCATCGCAGATAATTCCTACTTTCGGGTTACAGACAGGAAAACAGGACTTTGCCAAATGTGTATTTATACGATGTTTAAGGGAATATTTATCGATGATGGTGTGTTTTACGGCAGTGCGGTGTTTTTGTCTCTGTCTGGAAATACATAGAAGAAGAAAACTGATATCCTGATCGGCAGTACTGATTATCAATGAACCTCTTCAGTAGTGTGTGTGTGTGTGTGTGTGTGTGTGTGTGTGTGTGTGTGCGTTCCACCTGGGAGAGAACGGAGAGATGAGATGCCTCTCTTTGGCCCAGCTGATGGTGGGAGGTGGGAGGCTGTGGACATCACAAGGCAAAACAGCATCCTCACCCGCAATCACCGACATCCTCATCGGCTCCGCTGAGCCTCCGGCACCACCAGCACTGGACCTGGGTCGGACTGGGCGGGCAAAACACACACAGATTTAGTTGATCCTGTGCACTAGTCCCTCCTCCCTCGACATCTGCCGTTTGCACACCATGTTAACTTGTTTTATGACGTGAGACGATGAAGAAAGGCGTCCACAGTGTCACTACGCTGTAACCGTTGGCCAAGAAGGCTCGTTATTGCAGTGAGGGAGGTCGGGATTATCAGGTGGAATAAACTGTTAATAAAAGCGATCAAAGAAAAACTATTGAACTTAAAGTTAGCAGTAGGTGGCCACAGCGATATAGCAGCTGCTTTATAACATATTAGAGCAGTTTAGCAGAGAGCATGAACACAACTAGAACTGTGAGGCTGGAAGTGGAGGAAACTCGCTGAACACCTACATGAACGCTGTACTGTACGTTTTAGAAAGTTAAGTTCAGAAACACGGCCTTGAGATTGGGTTACGAAATAATCAATGTTCCCTCAGCAGCCATCGAGGACTCTAGATCCACACATGGATGAGGTAAGCTGCAATTAGGTTGAAACCACTAAGTCAAAATAGAGGAAATTAAATTCTGTTTGGTAATGTTTGCGTCTATCTTTGTGCTATAAGTCATTTTCTTACCAAATCCGACACACTGTGTGATGTGGTGTGGCAGCTGCTAGAGGTTACCAGACATTATGATTATTGGTAATTACACTAATGTCTCAAAAACTGTTTGGTAATAAAACTGTTGATGTGAAACGCTACATTCAGCAGCTTTATTCCTGCACAGGCTTCGGCTGGTGATGAGGTTTACCGTAGACGGTGAGCTGGACCTTCCTGGAGGCAAAGCCAGCGGCGTTGGTAGCTGTGCAGATGAACTCTCCTGTCTCATTTCCAGAAGGGGAAGTGATGAGGAGGCTGTCATCTGAATCCAAGGAAAAAGCTGGACCACCCAAGTTAAGCAGCACCCCACCCTACAAAACAAATCACAGCAGGGAAAGGGCGGGGTCCGGAGTTTATTTCATTAACCGAGCTTTATTAACACTTGACGTTGTTCCTGAGATGTGTGGTTTGACCTGCAGTTAAATTTATGATTTGATTCTCTTCCCTGCTGTTATATAAAACGGCTGTGAATAAAAACACCTACAGTTCTACCGTCAAAATGAACCAGAACACAAAGCACATATAATGTTAGCGCGTCGGTGTTGTATCACATCCGGACTGTTCGCTTTGGCTCCAACGTGACTAACTTGACTTGACTTGATTGATGTTATGGAGAACAGCAAAGAAATCAGAGGGAATCACATTTTAACAGCTGCTGCAGAACTTAGCAGGGTCTAGTTTCATACGTCCCTGTAGCCCTGTTCACTTTAACAGCAAGGATTTTACAACTCAGAGAAACTAGTGTTAAAGACAGAAAAGAGGGCAGGACTATCCACATGCACACACACACACACTGGCTTATGGTTCAGATTCACCCACAGCAGTGCACACTGAATGGACGAACACGTTGCACGAGCTAATGCACGCAGGTAGAGTTGATTTCATGGTGCAGCACATCGGGCAGACACATGTATCCTCACAGAGGCTTTTTCCTCTCGAGCGCTGCTGTCTTGTCGCAGCTCATAGATACATAGCGATCCTGACCTTTGACACGAAACAAAACAAGGGCCTGTTGCCTCGTTGTTGAAATCGATGCATCCGCAGCTGGAATCTGTCGAGCAGAGCTCATCGCTGCCCGAAACCGCAGAACCATGAAGCGTTGATACAAACACTGCATGGTTACTATCCAAATAAACTGGATAACAGCCGTCGCTTACGATTTATCCAGCGAGTGAACGAGTGTAACTAACAGAGAGGAGCGTGTCACATGGTTCTGGGATGATTGATGCTAAAAAACGACTTCCAGGCGGCGCGGCAATGCTTATTTCTCATCAGGTCTCATCAGGTGAGATCCGGAGGTTTTAGCTAATTTGTTTTTCTTGATTCACTTGTTTCATGTGGTTCCTCTTATCTCCCTCGTGTTCTTTCTCAGTGCATGGAAGGAAGAGAAGGTCGTTCTCACGAGCCTTTTTATGTGGTGAGATAATCGCAGCACAGACCTTGGTCCAGGTGATGTCAGGTGTTGGGACTCCAGCGGCACGGCAGGGCAGGGAGATGGGCGTTCCTTCGATGGTGCTGAACACTTGAGGGCCGTACTGAATGGTGGGGATCACTGTCAACGCAAAGAGCAAAACAGGACACAGTTCAGAATGGTTTTTGTGAACGTACACCTCCATCAAGTCAGATTCTACTAAATGCACTTCTTCATCTACTGTGTGTTTGTCTCTGCAATAGTGCCACCACTTAGTTGTTGTGTGTCTCGGTAGCATCTGGAAAAAGTTTGGAGCTCGCTGAACACACAGTACTCAGTAAGCTCTCTGTCCCGGCTTCACTATCTGTCTTGCTTTTGTTTGTTATGACCCAAGGAGCCTGCAGAAAAGATCAGCACTTGGAGGCCTGCAGCATCTTCTTGGAAAGGAAATTTAGCTAAACAACAAAACCACACACAGTTTACACAAAACACGACAATACATGGCGGACCTCTGTCCATCTGCAGTGCTCGTACGTCCTACGGAAAGTGTTTCTCATAGGTTACAGCAACTTGATCTATACACTGATCCACACAGAGCTGTGCGTGTCCATATGAAACAGACTGACCTCATTTCAAGAACTGAGGAGCTTTTATGTACATGATGCAAACACTTCCTATTAAAGCCGGTAGAATCTGGCAACATCTGACGTTAGCATAAATGGAGAACACATTTCTCACTCGCTGTGCTTCAAACTCTGCCTTCTCCTCAGCAGCTCCTGGTTTTAATGCAACCTCAGGGATAACCCCGTCCACCAGGTTAAGAGTCTATGCAGTGTAAAGGAGACATTTAAAGGCGGTGAGAAACGGACGAGGTACCAGAATAAAAGACAACAAAAGAACGGAGGGGGAATCCAGTGTCTTATAAAACAAGTGACAGTCTTCACTGAAGATGTTATAGAAAAAAATGTGCAGGTACAGTTACTAACTTATGAACTATGGCTCAGTTCCATTAAGTGTCCCAGTGAGCCAGTATGTATAGTAGCAGGAAGCTGGGACTAGAACGCAACCACTGCTCCACATAATACCTGCATCTGTGCTTTCCTGCTGTGACTTGAGTTTTTTAAAAACTTGGACTGCTTCAAGAAGAGTCTTGCCTTTGAATATTCATTTTTTGGTACATTTTTCTTAAAATGAATGCCCCCAACTGTTCATATGTGGAGTGTAGGTGAAATGGTGTGATGGTCTTCTTGCCCTGAAACTTGGACACGATATGATACAACACAATACGACACAATATGACTTGATATATTACTCAATACAGCGATATGA